TTCAAACTTGAGGCTGTAACTAAAGTTCTAGTGTCAACAGCGCATTTCCTGAATACAGATTTTAAATGGTAGTAAATTTAAGAATCCAAAGTACTTAAAACTATCATTTGCAAGGCAAGATGTTGTTTGGAAAGTACCATATAGACAGTGGATTTCCCTTTTATTTTACACACACACAACCTTTCCGTAGTAAGCTAACAGGACAGACATGAGGACTGGGGAAATGAGTAGAGGCTATCCATGATCAATGCTGTATTCCAAGAAACACAGTAAACTTAGTATTTATCTCCAGGAGAAAAAAACGTATTTTTCTTACATTTGATAGATTACTGATGGAGGTATAATATATTAAAAAACTATTGGGGCCAGCCCAGTGGTGTAGTAATTAAGTCCGTGCACTCTACTTCTGCAGCCCAGGATTTGCAGATTCGGATCCTGGGCATGGACGTACACACCACTCATCAAGACATGCTGTGGTGGGCATCTCGCATACAAAATAGAGGAAGATTGGCCCAAATGTTAACTCAGTGACAATCTTGATCAAGCCAAAGAAAGAAGAAGATTGGCAACAGGTGTTAGCTCAGGGGCAATCTTCCTCACCAAAAGAAAACCAAAGCAAAACAAACTATTTAAACTGGGAAATAAGATCTTGAGTAGGTGATGTACATATGTGGAAAGTGAAAATTCTTTAAAAGTCATTTGCTTGATTCTTACAATCTTCCAAGCAAGCAAATTGACAAAGGAACCAGTGCAATCACATCAGTACCAATATTAGGGAAAGACTCTCCTTGGTTAAATCATAAACTGACTCTAACTTTATCACTCTGCCACACATCTCCTATTTAGAAAGCCATGGTGGGGCTCTACCATATGGCACAGAACAGTACAGAGGATGGTGGGATCCTGGGTAGAAGAGGCAGAGCGAGCCAGCCAGAGCAGCAAACTGCTTTAAATCAGCGCTTCTGTTACAAAGCAGACAGAGTGATGTGTCAGTTTGCACAGAAATAAAATGAAGAATTGCTTTCAAACGCCTTAAAATGGTCCCTGCTTTGAGGCATTGGAAAAAATTGATTTCGGTAATTGAAAGCGAGTTTTGCTGTGCATGAACAATCAGCTTCGCGGAAGCTTCTGCCTCCACGGCCCACTGACTGTCCCCATCTCTGAATTAGGATGTTCTGTGCCCACAGACAAGCAAACAAGGCAGGTGGGCTAAAATCTGTGTCTCTTTTTCCAAATGCCTCTGAACGTAAGTCTGAAAGTTAGTTATTACAAATGCCAGTTAAAATCTTCTGCAAATGACAGCAAATTTCTTCCCTGATGCGGCCATGTTACTAAATCTTAACCGAATGGAAGACTAACCCAATCCGGATTGAATTTTTTTCACCTGATAAAGGGAACATTGTCAGAGACAGTGACAATTTTCAACCACAGTACAGGTAGCCAAATTATTTTGTTTGAAAATCTATCTTCTCAATTCTAAATAATGAGATTAAACCCTTATTTTTTTTTTTCTATCAGTGGAAGTCTAATCAAAACAAAACAAAAAACATCAAGCTTAGTTTCACATCCCTAAAGATAGGAAGGGATTTTGGGTGATCTTATTCTTTACCAGGCTGCTTCTAAACATAGCTACATCCAAAATATTCCAAAACAGCCAAAATAATCCATCCGATATTTTAATGACCTTCAGAAAAGATCACTATCCTCTATCTTAGGAATTCTGGAATTGTCAAATCTTTAAAGTTAAATTGTTCATACTGAAATTCCATCCATCTCTAATGTAAGGTGAAGCAATTGGACACAAATTTCTGGAACCTTCACCAAGCCCTGGAATCACCCTGACCTTCCTTCTTCCCCAGCCTGCTAACCCTCTTGTAGTCACATGACTCCTGCTCTACCCAAAGATGATGCATTTAAAGACCTAAGAACAGAAATTGGCATATAGTAAGAGCTCATAAAAACAGTGATGATGATGATGACAATTGGCCCAGCCGGCATGGGCTGCCACTTCAGTGCTGCTGTCACCAAGCACTGGATGTTTTTTTTAAGTGGGAACTGTGCCAAGCTTGACATAACCCCCTCCATACATTTTCCCTCTTCCTCCTCCTGACTGTAGAGCATTGCTAGAGAATGTTACAGAATTTTGCCAGTCTCCCTACAGATTCATGCTAACTTCAAATGTGCTCCTAGTCAACCAAAACATTCTTATTTATCTCATGTGCCTTCCCGAGCACACTCTCTCAACAAATTACTCCAAATCTTCTCTATCGTAAATCTTCTCCACCTGAAGTCTCTTCTCCTTTCTAATCCCCTCAGGAATTGATTTTCATCCTATTTTATGTACATCAGTACCTTGCGTAATACCTGAAAGATAGAGTTTGTTTGATACAGTACCTTGCATAATACCTGAAAGATAGAGTTTGTTTGATACATACGTATCTGATTGAAACTAAAAGCAATACTATAGTTTCCACACAAACTTCCATTTCCTTTTTTCTAAAGAATTGGGGAAAATCTTAGCCAAATGCAGGTAAGAAAAGATTTTCTATGTTCATCCCATTCGGGCCCCTCCCCTCCTCTTTTTTTTTTTTTTTTTTTTTTTGCTGAGGAAGATTAGCCCTGAGCTAACATCTGTGCCAATCTTCTTCCACTTTATATGCGGTTGCCACCACAGCATGGCTGTTGAGTGATATAGGTCCGTGCCTGGGATCCAAACCTGCAAACCTGGGCTGCCAAAGTAGAGCATGCCAAACTTAACCACTATGCCATGGGACCAGCCCATCAGGTCACTTTTTCTTGTCCTGTTTCCACTACTTTTACTGTTCTGTGTCCTGCATTACCCTGTTCCACTTGGGTCTGCATCAAAATGGTCACAGTGGTGACTTCTATGATACTAGTCTTTGGCACTAATTGCACACAGCACCCCATCTCTTGGTCTGCAGTTGTTCAAGTTCCCATTTTGAAGAGTTTTCTTCACAATATTTGCACACCTCTAGCTAATTCTATTCTTACCATAAATTGACAAATATGTACAAATGATGGAACCCACAGTACATGTTCCCTTTGAACTGTCTCTCTTGTTTCCTGGAAATAGCTCTCTCTTTTTGGCTCAGTTCTCTGACTCTGGAGTAATCAACTTCACTCCTAATATTTGCAAGACTGTGCCCCCCTTCTCTTCCCAGTCACAGCTCCATGCTACACCATGAGGAGCCTAGCATGCACAAGTGTGGACCTCCAGTCCAGCTCCATACACACGCATCTGCTAACAGCTCTTTGTCAGCCACTGTTGGGACCTAAGTTTGCACACATCAGCAGTGTGGCCCAGGCAGGGAGAGGGATGCAAAAGAAGAGGCTGGCTCAGACCTTAGAGCAGAGAATTCCAAAGTCCCAGTTATGGAGCTTGTGGTCTAGAGGGGCTCAGGTGTGCCCGAGAAGGAAGATGGCTCACCCAGAGGAAGGGCAGAGGCTTCTGAAGCAGGGGCCCAGTGAAGGGCCCCATTGCCTGCATCTAAGGACAGTACTGCTGCACTTTCAACATTTTCTGATCTGCATAACAGGTACCAATGGACAGCAGAGCCCAAGCCTTTCACCTGAAAAAATGCAAATCTTTTATTCAGAAGTAATTAATTCTATAATGATTTCTGTGCTGCTCTATCAAACATTCCTTGATCTATGTAGCCTGAAGGGCTAACCATTTTTTACCACCTTCACATAAGATACACATAGATCTTCATTTCCCACCCTTTTTCATTCCATCTTGATATAAGGCATTTCCTCCTGAATCCTCTCTTCCTTTCCACCTTTCTCAAAAAGTGTCATTTCTCATCATGGAGGGAGGATGTACACACTAATAGTATGCAAGGTGGCTTTAGGTGGTACACAGCATTGCTTTTGTGAAAATTATATACTGAGTTTAATACCCATTATGAAAATCTAACCAGTGTAGCAAACTGGTGATACTGTTGCATATTACTGCTAAGTAAAAATCTGAGTTGAACAATTATGTTCATTGTAGCATTATTCACAATAGCCAAGACTTGGAAGCAACCCAAGTATCCATCAACGAATGAATGGATAAAAAAGATGTGGTATATGTATGCCATGGAATAGTACTCAGCCATAAAAAAAAGACAAAATGGTGCCATTTGCAACAACATGGATGGACGTTGAAGGTATTATACTAAGCAAAATAAGTCAGATGGAGAAAGACAAATACTGTATGGTTTCACTGATTTATGTGGAAGATAAACAAACAAACAAACACATAGATAAGCAGAACAGACTGGTGGTTACCAGAGGCTAATGGGGTTGGGGGAGAGCAAAAGGGATAAAGGGGCACATATGTAAGGTGATGGATAAAAACTAGACTATTGGTGGTGAGCACAATGTAGTCTATACAGAAGCTGAAACATAACGTACACCCGAAATTTACACAGTGTTATATGCCAATATGACCTCAATAAAATAACTTTCAAAAAAATCTGAGTTGACTTTAAATATACATATATTTATAAGATAGTAGTAAGGAATTGACTTAGATACAGAAAAAATGGTGAAAGTAGAACAGAAATGATAAAAGTTTGGGAAATGCTGTGTGCAGGAGAGCCCATTAGGAAAAGATACACATTCCTTGTCCGGGGCCTTCCACTTCCCAACTGTACAAACCTGACCCCTGTCAAACCGAGTCTTCTCATCTGCCTGTTTCACAGGAGCTTTGGGAAGATCAAATGGAGAAATACACGGAAGCGTTATAACATGGTTCTCTCCAAGGCTGGCCTCTCTGGAATCCCAGTCCTCGCATTTCCAGACTCTGGCTTCCTCAGCTGTGCCTTTCTTTTCAGTAATTCATTTTTTTCCTATTCGTTACTATTGGCTCATTCCCTCCTACTTGGTTGGATTTCCAGTAGCCTGGAAATAAAATCCTCTACCTTACATCTTAGTCAGCTTGGGTCGACATAACAAAATACCACAACTGGGTGGCTTCAACAACGGATATTTACTTTCTCACAGTTCTGGAGGCTGGAAGTCCGAGGTCCAGGTGTCGGCGGGGTTTGTTTCTGGGGTGACCTCTCTTCCTGGCTTCTGGACAGCTGCCTTCTCTCAGTGTCCCACACAGCCTTCCCTCTGTGCACGTTCACAGAGAAAGAGAGAGATCTGTGATGTCTCTTCTTATAAGGACACCAGTCCTATCAGATTAGCACCCCACCCTTATGATCTCACTTAACCTTAATTCTCTTTAAAGGCCCATCTCCAAATACAGTCACGTTAGGGGTTAGAGCTTCAACATATAAATTTGGGGAAGGACACAATTCAGTCCACAACACTTACTATTTTCTTCTTTCTGCACGAGCCAAACTAATGAAATGATAAATATACACTAGCGATTTCCAACCAGAGGTTAAGTCACCCATAATGCTTTTTAAAATCACAGAATCCCAAGCACCGTTCCAGATCTACTGAACCAGAAAAGCTTGAGAATGGTGTCCAGAGAGCTGTACTTTTTGCATCTATACAGGTGAACTGATGTAATACCCAGTTGAGAACCACTGAACCAGTTCCTGGCTTCACCCTCAACATCCACTTCTTCGCCATCCACTCTTTGCCCATTCTCTGATTTTGATTCTTATTATTCAGTTGAAACAGTTCTTTCAAAAGCCATCCAATGATTTCATAATTGCAAAATTGCATGGCATTTCTACAATCTTTATTTCCATTAATGTTTCCGCAACAGTTGTACCATAGAGTTTCCCTATTTCAGGAAATTCCCTCCTTTTTTGTTTTTCTGGCATTGTACCCACACGTGTTACACCTCTAGCTCATCTGTGTTCTTCACCAGCTCTTATTTCCCCATTCCCCCAGGTACTGTCCTTGGCATTTTTTTTCTTCCTTTCCCATAGTGTCTAACCCATTCCGACAACTTCAAACACTATTTCTATGAAAGTAATTCTAAAATTTTCAGACCACTCTTGTGAGCACCTTTCCCCACTAACCACTTCCAGATACTCATCTCCTCAGGAAAGTCCCATCGATTCCTCAAACCCAGCATATTTGTTTACTTATCAAATGTTGAAAGACAATTTAGCCAAGCCCTGTGCTAGATTCTGGGGATTGAAGGTGAAAATCAGACACAGTTTCGCTTTCCCCGAGCCAGAAATTAGTAAAGAAATGTAAACCAGAAGCTAGAATGCACCATAAAGTACCGCTGTGAGCGGGGAAGCCCAGAGTAGGGAGGGGCACAGCCAATCCAGATTTGGAGTGCAGGAAAGGCTTCTGGGGGTGGGGCAGGGCACGAGATAGGTGTGGCCATTTCAGTCAGCTCTCCCAGGACTTTGAATCTTGAGCAAACCAAGAACATGGGACAAGCATTTTTTTCACACCCAAAGAAGACTAGAGCAAACAGCAGAGAAGAAAGAAAACAAAGCTGAAGAGTGATGTCGTGGTTAACGGAAGCAAGTGTTTCAAGAAGGAGGTGTACTGTGGTGCTTAAGACCTCTGGCTTTGGGGTCACAGAGACTTAAGTCGGAGACTCTGCACTTCTGTTTGTGAGCTGTATGACCTTGGGCAGTTTCCTCGGTTTTCTTACTTGTGAGATGAAATAATAATCCTCGCTACATCTTCGGGTTGCCACGAGGATTAAAGGAACTGTCCTGTGTAAAGCACTCAGCACAACGCCAGGCGCATATGATCATGGACAAGCGGTCTGCAGGGTCAGGTGCTGGGAGGCTCAAGGAAGGTAAGGATTGGAGCGTGTCCGCTAGAGTCACAGAACAAGGAAGGCCCTGGGAACCAAAGAGAGCAATTTACAGGAAGAGATGGGGGCAGAAACTAGATGGCAATGGGTGTGAAAGGATGGATCACGAAAAAAGCAGAGACATTAAATGGAGATGATTCTTTAAGCATATTTGGCTGTAAAGGGAAAAAGAGATTTAATGGTCTCTGTTGGATCACTTAGGGTTAAGGGAAGATTTATTTCGGTGTTTTTTTTCAATATAGGAGATACATATCCATGTTGAAAAACTAATAGAAAGAAACAATATTTGCTTAGACAATTGGGATACAGTAAAAGGGAATAATCGATCAGAAGCTGTGGGTCTCCAAGTGTGGTTCACACCATTAGGGGTCCCTGAGACCTATTCAGGGAGCCTGGGCAATCACAACTATTTTCATAATCATGATAAGAGGTTACTTGCCTTTTTCACTATCTGACTTCTGTATTGTTGGTACAAAAGCAATGGTGGGTAAAACTGTTGGCACTTGGCGTGAATCAAGGCACCAAACCATCATAGGTGTGGTTGTCCTCTCCATCATCACACACAGCAAAATCAGTGTCAGGTCCACTTAAGAATGTCCTTGATGAAGCACAAAAATTACTGATTTTATTAAATTTAACTCTTGAGTGCATGTCTTTGTAATAGTCTATGTGACAAAGTGGAAGCACAAAGCCCTTCCACAGCAGACCAAGTATAGTAGCTGTCTTCGAGACTGATGGAGTTGTGGGCCCCTTTGTTCAGGGGATACCATTTTTACTTTAAAGAATGGCTGACAAACTATGGCTACTCAAATGAGTGTTTGGCAGACATTTTCTTGGAAATGAGCAAAAGGAGGCTGTCACTTCAAGAAAAACTGACAGTATTTGTTGCCAATAATAATATTTAAACTTTCAAGTAAAAATTATAATTTTGGAAACTCTGCATCTACCATCATGAGTTTGACAGTTCTTGACACTTAAATACTTTTCTGATGTAATTGGTGGTGATATTATTGAATACGACATTTTTGTTATTATGAAATAAAATATGCCAATATTTGGAAGATCTGCATAACTCAGTGAACAAATATTTTCCAAAGGACTACGCATTGTGTTCAAAATCATGCCTTTTTAGTAAAAGATTAGTTCAAAGAGAAAAATAGATGGATGGATTTTAAAGTAACAAGATACAAAAAATTCATTAACACGCTTTCAGAATCCACTTTGCAACTAGCCTTTAAAAAACCACCACTTGTTGAGTTTTGGTGTAATATCAAAGAAAAACAACTACAATTATCTGAAAAAGTTTTTAAAATAGTCTTCCTTTTCCAAATATAGTCATGCACTGCATAACGACATTGCAGTCAACAACGGACTACATATACGACGGGGGTCCCATAAGATTAGCACCATATAGCCTAGGTGTGTAGTAGGCTATACCATCTAGATTTGTGTAAGTGCACTCTATGATGTTCACACAATGACAAAATCACCTAACAACACATCTCTTAGAACCTATCTCTGCCACTAAGCAACGCATGGCTGTACATATCCGTGTGAGGCAGGATTCTTTTCCCATACTTCAACCAAATGATCATTTCACAACAGATTGTATGCAGAAGCAGAAACAAGAATCCAACTGTCTTCTATTAAACTGGACATTAAAGAGATTTGCAAAAATGTAAAACAATGCTACTCTTATTTACATATATTGGGTTTATTATTGTAATCTTTCAGTGAGGTAATAGTTTTTTTTTTAATCCGCTGTTTCAGTTCCTAACATGGTAAGTGTCAGTACCTATAGCTCACATAAAAAAGAAGCTCATTGGGGTGATTAATAATTTTCAACTGTAAGGGGTTTCTGAGATCAAAAAGTTCGCTCAAAAAGCTGGATTAGAGAATGGTACTAGAGAAGGCAGGAGAGTGTGGGACCCAGAACAGGAGTGGAGGAATTCATCCAAAACAAAGGGAGAGAGCTTTCTCCCTTAAGAAACAAAGAAGGGGGTGAGGATTAGCAGATGCCAAGACATTTTGGGTTTGGTGGCAAGAGTGCCAAGGATTTCTCATCTAATGTCTTGTTTTCACTGTGCTATCAGGGTTGAGGACTTCCATGGAAAGTGAGGGGAAAGAGCAAGAGGGGACAGAAGTTTGAGGGATCCAGGGAGCACCTGTGGAAGACAGGTGAACCACCTGACCGGAGCCATGCAGGGGGGAGACTGAGCAGGATGGGGACCCAGCGTGGGGTGAGCATTCCTCAGCAGGGACCCCCTGCCACTCGGCAGGTGCCTTCACACAACATCCACCAGCTGGTTTTAATAGTTATTTCATTGCTTATCGAGTTAATATTACTGCCATACAGAAATAGAATAACGAATGCCCTTCTGACTACCACAAACATTCTAACAACTTTAATGTTCTGCCATAGGTAACTGAGACTGAATGTTAAGCTAACTCATTCCCAGAAATGTTAAAATGTCCTAAATTCCTTTATTAGTTTCTTAGTTCACTCTTCATATTCTGATTTTATAAATGTACGGTTTTTAAATTCTGCTTCTGATGTTGATTTTGAAATGTAAATCTAGGAAATTGGACAATTGAAGATCTTGCTGTCTTATTTTAGCTTCACAGAGCCAACAACAATTTTACTGGGGAAAATGGTTAAATGGATTTGTTTTCACTTTCTCTTCTTAAAGATATATAATATGGCTTGGGGCCAGCCTGGTGGCATAGTGGTTAAGTTTGCACACTCCACCTCGGTGGCCAGGGTTCATAAGTTCAGATCCCGGGCATGGACCTAGCACCACTCGTCAAACCACACTGTGGTGGCATCCCATATAAAATAGAGGAAGATTGGCACAGATGTTAGCTCAGCAACAATCTTCCTCAAGCAAAAAGAGGAGATGTTAGCTTGGGGCCAATCTTCCTCACCAAAGAAAAAAAAAGAAAAGAAAAGATATAATATGGTCTGTTGACTCCATGTGAGGATGTGATGCAACCAGAAATCTCAAAGCTCGGCTTCCTTGTCTGAAGTGAGCAAACTCCAAGGTTAAAGTAAAATCTTCAGAATTCAAACTCCAAGATTGGTTCATGTCCTCGATTATATAATTTTAATAGGTAACTACCATTAGAACTTTAGTCTCAACAACTATGGAAGCACTTATTCTCTTTTCACAAAAGTAAACTTTCAGAGGATTACACAATATTCTGAAGCACTGGAGAAGTTATATCCTCATGTTGGATGGAGGTCATCTCAGTTGAGGTCAAGGTCAAGGTCAAGGACCCTCACAGATTCTGATACTAGCAATCTCTTTCTGCCTCCCTAACATTCCCAAGACCCACAGGCCACTTGGTGCAGCTCTTCTTCTATTCAAAATGT